CCAGTGGTTGCAATCGTTTTTATATGACGCAAAGATGGTAGCAACCATCATCAAAAGTTGCAGCCGGTATCCTTAGTGTATCCATTGATTATCTGGGTATTTGAGTACTTGGTCAATCAATAATAATAAAGCTCAACACCTGGATAATCAGTCAGTCAATAAAATTCAAAATCCAGTGAAAATTTTCAACACACAATTAACTGGATAATTGGTGAATAATTGGTAAATATCATTTGATGGATACAACCACTAACCTATAACCATGTCTCTTATCATCATTTAGTATTATTTATTTATTATTTTATTAGTATTTTTATATTCAACATTATAGATGATAAAAATGTTAAAACAGTATATATAAAACACTATAAATAATAATAATAAAAATGATCATTGTGAGATAAAAATCTGTGCCTCAATATTTTATTTATAATAATAATATGCCAACAATGTTAATACAATTTATTTACACTAAAACATATCAACAATTTCCATGAATGCATATTTATGGTTTACTCTCAAAACTATTTTTTGCTATCATCAAACAATTACTTACAATAAGAAATACTAAATAATATTTTTAGACATCCTAATCATGTTTCTTGATGGGTGTCCTTCTAGCTGTTTTCCTCTTTACTACCAAGTCAGGCACATATCTAAAAACTACTAAATAAAATTCATTAACTAAAAGAAATAAAAAATAATAAAAAAATTAAACAAATATAAAATAAGAGAAAATTTATTATGCTTGGGATTAGTATGAATTCATTGTTAGAGATTGATTTATTATCATTACAAAAATATAATTCAAAGACTATGACAAGGACAAGGACAAGGACAAGGTTAAGGACAGCATTATTTATTAAATTATTATGATGATAAAGATAATGAAGATGATGCATGAAGTTGAGAAATTACAACATTATTTATACATGTTAAAGATTCTATCATCAAATTCTCTGATTTCTTTGAAATCCTAATTTACTTTGTAGAATTATTTTCAAGTTATTTTTAAAGTGATCAATCATTTAAATTAAGGTTTCTGGTCCAAACTGTTTTCTCAAAACCCAAACTAGTTTGGGCAATTTGGGCTTCTCAGCATTTTTTATAAACATGAACATTAAAGAACTATACCCATCAACTTATTTTAACTTAAACAACTTTAAAGTAATTTTGCCCAATTCTGGCTAATAACAAAAAATAGTTGGGCTTATAAAAAAGTAAATTTTGCCAAAAGTGTTTCAGCAATTTTGGCTACTAATAAAGAGAGTTTCAGCTGGAAATCTTAATTTAAATTCCTTCGTTTAAATTTAATTGAGAATTAAAGTTTAGAATGCTAGAATATTTACTTCTCTGTTGTTTGAGATATTTTCCCATGAGCTAATTATTTTATTAGTGATTAAATAGCATGATATTGCAGTAAACAGGCATCCCCAGAAAAGGTCACTGGTATTACCAAGCCTACTTTGTTAAAAAATTATATTAATATAGTAATAAACATTTTACATTAAAGTTTTCAATCCATCATGATTAATTTTTTCCAATCTCTTATACTCAATCAAAGCACTTTTTTTTTTGAAAAAAACCAAATCTCAGTATGTTCAAGTTTTCCAAAGAGCTTGCACTACTCAAGCTTAGCCTCAGCAAATATGTCCTCATCAATAGAGATGATTATATAGGTAAGGTCAAACCCTTTGTTTTATGAACAGTCGATGAGAAGGCATTTTGGGGCAGGAATTGTATAAACTTTATTAATTAATTAAGGAAATTATTTTCACCACTCATTATTGTAACATGTGTACAACAAATGTATAATTAACATTTTGTCTTGTCTTGTCTTGATGATAGTTGAGTTCCTTTTCCTTATTGTTATCCAATGTTAGATATCATGATCAAAGGAAACAATGAAAAATTCCATCACCTAAACTTTAATTAATTAAAAAATGTATTTTCATCACCATTTAATATAATAAATAGGATAATATTTGTCTTGCATAATCTTAATGCTAGTTGGGTTAGCATAGTGGAAGTTTGATTTCATTGGCTAAATTTTTCAATGATCTCCCTTCCAGATATCATGAAAAAATTGGATTTTATTAGCATGGTGGACATTTGAATTTGTCACATGAAGAATCAATTGAAAACATAAATATAAATGAAGAAGCCATAAATAGATTGCTTACAAATACTAAAAATGAAATAAAAAATTGGTAGATTGTTTATATGGTGCAAGTCACCTAGTCCCGCAACTTGCTGCGCCTCATGGCCAATTTTGGGAAAAATCATCAAATCTCAGAATTGTATAGTGCAAGTCACTTAGTCACACAACTTTTTATTGGTCATGCAGATTTTCAAATTCTCCAAAAATAGAAATGCAACACCCCAAAAATAAATCGTGTATTTGAAGCCAAGACCTTCCTCTACAAAATCACGATTTCATTTCATTGATATGTCATACATATTATTTAAATTCCAAATCTGGAAAGATCCCTTACTGCAAGATTTCTTTTATATGTTTATTCCTATGTAAATGTGAGTAAGCTTTTTCATCTTTATCCTAAAAAATTTATACAGAAAAAAACTACTAAAAAAATATCCATATCAACATTCCAATTGATTATCATCAACCAGGATGATAATATGCTTCCTGTGATACTGATCAACAAATGTATACTATATTGGGAGATGCCATTAGTGTTGGGTTAAGTTTCCAGTCCAGGAAAAAAGTAGCTTTGACAATAGTTTGGGCTTCTCAATATTTTTATAAGAATGAACATGAAAAATTATAAAATCAACTATTTTAATTAAATAATTTAAAAATAATTTTGTCCAATTTCAGCTATTAATAAAAAATAATTTGGGCCCATATTTTTGATCAGTGGGGTGCATTTGCAACATTTTTATATATAGGCCCATTTTGTACCACCAGTTGCACAGTTTAGCCTAACACTATATTCACTATTGTCAACAATAAATGATGGTTTAATGATTGGATGAAGCAACTTGAAACAATGTTTGTCCTTGGACATTTTTTTGGAGAAACTACAGGAATGCCATAAGATCTGTTATATATACATAAAAAGTTGTGAGACAAACTTAATTACAATCTGTGATTTCACTATAATTCATAATTTTTTGCAAACTGACTTACATATTGTCAAATAATACAGCTGCTGCTTGACCAACCTTTGATTCTGTCAATGATTTTTTCCCTTGAGATGATCTGCACATAAATTATTATCAAAGTTAGTTTATTTCACTATTTTTTATTATAAGCATATATATATATCTTTTTTTTTTTAAGAAATAAAAAGTTGTATATATCTGCTCTTTCACTAAAGAAATGTATAAAAATGTAGGAAAAGATACACACCTATTAGTGGTATTTAAAGGTATTAGGACCACACTCCATGGAAATGCATAAAAGGTACAAATTACATACAGAGCATATAACATAATTCTTCCAAAACTTTCTTATTAATATGGATCTTTATGTTGGCTTTTATTTGACTATGTATGTTTATTTTTAGTGTATTAGTGAAAATTTATTATTATTTAAACTTTTATGGAATTCTTATTAATAGTTTCCCACTTACTACAGTTCACTCTCTCTATAACGAATCTTCTATCCTATATGTGATTTTGTGTTTACTAAGATTATAAGGAGAAATTAATTATTATTATAAAAAAATGAAGTTTGTTATAGAGTGTGAACTGTATATACAAATATGCGTATTTTATTCCTTCAATAATGGAAAAGTATTATATTAACATAAAGCTTTATTATTATGTTGTAAGATCACAAATTTTAAATAAATAAATTCGAATACATATATTTGTACATCATGCAAAAAAGAAAAATACATAAAAAAAACTTAACCGAATTTTAATGTGTAAAAATGTGATAATTGCTTATAAAACTTTAAATAAAAATTTGATCAACATATTTATATGTGGTACAAAGCCTTATGATTTAATTTTCCCCTATGTTTGTATATTAATATACTTGTGTATGGAGTTTATTTTTATTTAGGGCATTTCTATATATCACTTTAAGAAAACTAAATTTTTGATCCCTGAAATCCTTGGTAGTGTGAATGTTCACTTTGTCTGGTTTTGTTGTATGCCCCATATAACAATTTGTTTAAACAAAATAATATTAATACTATCTTGGAGTTGTTGTTACTTTAATGTATTTTGACCAAAATATGTAAAGGCTTTAATTTTTTTTCTAAATATCATTATCATCACCACTGGTTTAACTATAACATAATTCAGGGTTGACAATAGACTGGGTCAATTAGGGATTCATTGCCATTAACAAAATACTAAATATGGTTAAAATGTTATGACAATGATCCCAATGGACCATGCATGACCAACATAATTAAGATTTGGTAATTTGATTTTATTTATAAAACAGCTATATAAAGAATCCAATGTAACGAGTGACAAAGTATCGAGCACATATTCTCGAATGTCAGTGTATAATTCAATGCCCGCAATTTATCGGGTGTAACGGCATTAGTAATTTGTCTGCAGATAACCTTTAAATTTGTATAAATCTGCATTAAGTTACACATCGAAATTTATACACTGAATGTCACTACCACCCATCACATATAAAATTTATATATACAAATTACTGTTACAATATTAAATAAATAAGAAGAAAAAATGATTTGTTTTAAGCAAAAAAATAAAATGATAACAAGTATCCAATTTCACTTGTATATATTTTATTGTGGATAAGGACATTTTAGACCATTGACTGGAACAGATACTGCTGGTTTAAATACCCAATCAATTCCCCATACAAATAATTTGACATCAACGCGAAGATTTAGTGTAGTTTGTTGTATACCAGGTTGCTTAGTACAAGCAGAAAGAAAATCTTGAAGCACAGGATCACTTGCATCATTTGCTACATAATTTACATTTAATGGGAATCCAACTTCGCTAACTTGTTTTGGTGGAAGTGTATAATTTGTAATATTTCCAGTAGCAATTGGTTTATTAAATGATGATATAGTAGTAGAATCAAAGACCTGGAAGAATGAAAAAGTAATAATCAACAATAAAATTAAATGATTATAAATTATAACTAATAATTATAATTATAAAATAATAAATAACTTACTTGTACATCTATTCTGTTAAATCTGAATGGAATCCAATTTTCTTTATTATCAATTTGAGTTCGCATAACAAAATCCATATCAATCAATGGAGGATTTTGAGAGATTGATGGTGTACCAACTGGGATTGCATCCAATATTTTGACAATTGGTATACGAGGCCATACAAAATATAATGCCACAGCCAACAAAATCAAAATAACAAATGTAATAATTACACAATGTACTCCTGAACAACAACAACAACGCTTCCTTTGTTTTTTAAATGTATTATCAATCATCATTGGTTGATTAAGATTTTCTTTTTCAGAATCAATTTTACTGCCATTATGGAAATCATATGATGGGTTCATGTTATTATTATCTGGCAAAGTCATTGAGTTATGTCTTGTTGCTTCCTGATCATTGTAATATGATTGGTTTTGTGATGGATAATGATAATTATTATAATCATTATAAACATCCTGTTGCTGATTATTATTGCTGTTATTGCTGTTGTAACTGTCATAGTTATTTTGATTGTCCAAATTGTAAGTTCTATCAATTAAAGGCTGTTGTTGGTTGTTGTTGTTGTTGTTGTTGTTGAATACAAGTGAATTTGCTTGATGCGAAGATGGATAAATCATATGATTATTTCCAAGAAATCTTGAGTCACCATATACTCCATTGTTTGCTAATTCATTCGTGGCATGATTTTTTGAGTTATTTCTTGATAATGGGTCACTAGTACTTGGTTGAGAATATATTGATGCTGATCTTACTGAGACATTATCATCATTATTCACTGATCTTAATTGTGGTGTACCAATTGCTGTAGCTGTTGACACACTTGAATCAGATATTGAACCTAAATTATAAATAATTCGTGAATTAGGAAATAATAATAATAATATTATCATTGACTATAGTGATATTCTCAATATTCTTATTCCTTCCTATTTATTACTATATTATTAAATAATTTTTTAGTTTAATCTCTTGCATTTATCACTACTAATATCTATATACTACATATTTAATAAACAAAAAAAAAATTTACCTCTTTTCAGTGAACCGTGATAGGGCTGATTTTGATTGCTTTGCACATAATCACTCTCACTCAATTCTTGTATTCTTGGATTAGTGGCAGCATGCTCTCCCATCTCGTAAGGTTTAATACCATAGTTATTACTTGAGTTATTATTAATATAATTAAAATTATTGCTGTTATTATTATACTCGGGCCTGTATTGATTGCTATACTGATTGCCGTGTTGATTGTTGCTGTTGTTGCTTTTATAAGACATTTTTTTTTTGTTAAATATTTATTTATTTAATAAAAAAAAATTTTTTTTAAAGAAATAAATATAATATATATTTTTTTGAAGGAAAAAATTTTTAGGAATAAATAGTGAATCAAAAATCAGAATAGAAGTTTTTTTATGGAAAAGAAAGTATTATACAAAAGAATGAATAATAAAATGATAGGGTGATAGGCTCGGCGGTGTCAATGAAAAAGTTTTGGTTTGTGAAATTAATTATAGTTTTTGCGAGTTTAAATATAGTTTGTGTGCTAATTGTAATAATTGTGTTACACGTAAAAATTTATTAATTAAATGCTTTAATTCAAAATTTATTTAGCGCAT